ACCTTTCGTGTGTCAAGGTCAACCAGAGGTCATTCGAGGTCACATGAGGTCAACCTAAAACTTGACCTTTTCCGAACAAAATATATATCATTCGACGCGGCTTGACACGGCGAATGCGATGGTACCACTGCCGAAGCTCTAGGATCATTTTTTGTCGAAGTTATTTGCGAAAAACTAAAACCACATTTCGGGGTCGTTGACCTGACCTCTGACCTCAGGTCATCAAAACTATTTTTCTATTTTTCTCTATGTCGAACGCTACACAGCCGTGCTCGTAATTTGTCTTTATCTCCAAAACTCTATTTTTAGCAGCTATTTGAAGTTTGCGTCTGTGACGCCGAAGTTTGCCGTGCAGAGGTCTAGAAAAATGGACCTTGTGACGTCATCAAGGGGGCTAGGTCCAAATTTTTTGCTTCAGAAGATGTCAAATTGATGGGAGAAAAGGTACTGAAAGTTTCGCTTTTCTATCCCTAAGCGTTCGGGAGCTATCGCAAATATTCGCCAGGGGGGCGAAAAACGCCCCCCCCCCGGGCCCGCGAGGGTTAATATATCATCTATATAACGCATGTACATGACTGGCTGTGGTCTGTTTACTGATAACATTGCAGTTTCTACTGAATGCATAAATAATATAGCTAAGGGTGGAGCCATTCTATTGCCCATGGCTATGCCATTGGTCTGTCTGTAGAATTTAGCTCCGAATCTGACGAAGTTGTTTTTGAGGCAGTGCTCCAACAATGATTTGATGTCAGCTATGTTCAAGTCAAAGAGGTTTACTTTGTTTCTATGCAGTTGAATCATTTTGATGGTAGCTTCTATCGCCTCCGCTGTAGGTATTTTACCGTATAAGTTGTTCACGTCGACAGTAAACGCGATGGTGCCCGGAGGAAAGCGAAAGTTCGGGAATGTGCTGTTCAGCCGTTCAAGATATTCATACGTGTTTTTCAGATGGGCTGGTACAAATATCAACAGCTGGGTGATGATGCGCTGTAAGACCCAGGAGAGCTTGTCCAGCGGGTCTCCGCACGCCGACACTATGGGCCTTAATGGGATTCCTGGTTTGTGTGTCTTGGGCAATCCGTAAAGCTCGGCGGTACGGGATTCTACTGGTTTTATGGCGTCTATGAAAGTATCAGAGAATTTTTCATTCATTGTTTTCTGTATAATGGTGGAGGTGGTTTTGTCCAGAGCACCTGAGTCTGTCTCCACCCTTGCAGTGGGCTCATGCAGAATTGCACGTCCTCGGGTCCGCCTAGATGGCACGCATAATCCAAACATTCCCACGATATCTGCGGACTTGAGACGACCAGAAAACACTGAATGAATCATGGGTGGAGAACCTGCCCCGGCCAGCCCGGCCGTGGCCGGGGTAACTTTCAGCCTACCCCGGCGCGGCCGGGGTAACTTTGTCCACTTTTGCAAATCCTAAAAGCTATCTCCATACGAAAACAACTGCGACCTATAAAAATGTCTCTCATCATTCTTATCTACCTTTACTTTTTTGAAAATTTACTTTATTTTCATTTTGGAGCTTCTACGTTCTCAATTTTTTTTTCATCGCACAGCCAGACAGGTTTCATCTAACAGAATAAAGCATATTTAAGGGCCGTTATCGTAAGATGATGGCACTGCAATGCCATCACAAGAGAGGACGAGGGTGATATCAGTGAGATAGAAGGACGAGCTGCTGGGGCTCAACTCAAGGCTCCCCCAGCTTAACCCGCGCCAGGTTGGTGGCCCTATCCTTGAGTCGAGAGGTGGGCGTTTCACGCTCCTTCTAACTCGGCTACTGGGCTACGAGTCGAAAAGCGGAACTCGACGTTTGAAAGAGGGACAAACATGATCAGAGAAATCTGGTCATATTTTAGGCAAGCTCAATAATAAAATTACCATAGATCATCAAAAGCCAAATTTTTCTGATTTTAGCGTTCTCCAACAACTTTTCTCACAGTTCATTACATAACCCTGTCCCGTAGCTCAGTTGGTAGAGACCGGACTCCCGGTAGTGAGGGCCCGGGTTCGTGTCACTCCGGCGCTTGATATTTGGGGCTCCTGACGGTGATGGTCTGCGGTTGGTGGGAGCAGCCGCAGCCAGTTGAAGTCAGTTGAGTGGGACGGGCCATGCCCGGCTTTGAAGGGCACGTTAACCCTCGCCCGTATAGGGGGGGGGGGGGTCGAACGGACCCCCCCCATGGTTTTTCGCGAATAACTCGCGTAAAAAGCGGCCGATCGCGACGAAACTTTCAGTACCCTCGCGTTGATCAATTTTACACCTACCCTGAAAAATTCATGACCCTGACCCCAATGACCTTTGACCTGTGACCTACTTTTCGAGACCATGTTTGGCCGGAATCGCGATTCGGCGTATGTCGGCTCGCATTAGCCGCGCGTTTGCAGTCTTTTCGTGGTTTCAAGCGTTCAAACATGTGATATGATGTTGCCCCCATGCATTAGGGTGGGTATCAAGGTCACCTGAAGGTCAGGTCAGGTCATTGACCTTTGGTGACCTCGGTTCACTTTTTCGAGTTTGACATGTTTCTAGGCCAGTTTTTGGAGCTGAATTCGAATTTAGCAACCATATGAACATTTACGAAGTAGTTTTGGTGCCTTCGTAACATGTTACGAAGCTGTCAGAGGCAGTTGACACCTACTAGGAATACCCGGCAGGACCCTTACTGGTTGACCCGACCTGACCTGACCCGACCTGGACTAAATGCATAAAGACATCATCTGTGATCAAAACTAACATGATATTCGTGATCAGCGCCCCGAAAAACCCCATAGCAGACACACTTTACGACGTTATAATAGGTCCCGATTTTCCCGAGTTTTGGGTCATTGACCTGACCTGCAAGGTCAATCAATGACCTAGGACCTTAAAATTAGGTATCATCGGCTTCCTCTCGTCACGGGCAACACGCTCGTTTTTTCCGCGAAGCTCTAGCTCGATCAGGGGCGAAACGGCAAGGGGGGGGGGTCCAACGGACCCCCCCCCCCCTTATACGTTCGCGGCTGGAAAAACACCAATACGGGCGAGGGTTAAACTTTGGCATCTATATCATCCCGTTACCCGGAATTGCGCGATCGGATGGTAGGGGTCGGGGTCTACGCAACAAGCTCTACTTAGCGTGCCCCCCCCCCCGCTCTGCCAATCCGTCCGTTTAAACATTCGAGCTAAATCACTGCAAATAAAACATTCGATAACTCGTTTAAGGCTTGGTCGCGAACAATATTTCAGGTGCGAGCTCAAATTAATAAGAGGGCCAAAACGGTCAAATATGATATTTTTGTGTGGGAAGGTTGCAACTTTCCACGAAATAAGTTTTGCAATGGGCATGATCGCAGTTTTTAGCACGATTATCCAGCAAATTTGACCTGATAACCTGACATTAGGTGACATGCGACCGAATTTTTTTAAGGCGTGTTGCAAAACTGTTGCTATGATTACGAAGTTTTGCGCACCTGCGTGCAGCAGTTTTCCCTAAAAACATAAAACGGCAGACATCCTTTATTCCATGCCACAGAATAGGGGTTTGTTGATAACCGTTGACAAATATTTGTGCATCATCGTCTTTCTGACTTTCGGTCGCCGGCCGGGGTAACTTTTTCAAACATTCTCCACCCATGGAATGAATGTAGGTAAGGTCACGCTGTATCAACCGAGTCCTGATGCTTTTGACACTAAAATGCGACAATAAATGATGATAGTCAAGATTCTGAGAGTTTGGTTGAGTGAGTCGCCAGCCACATACCTAAGCATTTTATGCTGGACCCGGTCTAAGCGTTGAACATGGGTATTGGCGGCACCTGCCCACATGACACTTCCAAATTCCATGATGGAGCGAGCGTGAGCATTAAAAGCAGATAATAAGAGGCGCCGGACGGAATCGTATCCCCCTCGCAGCGCGAGAGGACTGCAGGGAGCGCAAGTACGTGCCTTATGCACGGTTCGCGCATCTGACGACGCTATCAACGTGTGGTCCAAATGTTTATTTTGAGTCCATCAACACTCCCAGATCGCGTATCATAGATACGCGCTGTAAGGCGGTTCCATGGATGACATAGTCAAAAATGACCGGTTTTGTACGGAGACTGGAGAGTGAACGTTATCGCTTTACATTTTGCAGGATTGAGTTTGAGCTTCCAGAATCCAGGTATCTGACCATGCCGAAAGTCTATCCAGATCCGTTTGAAGAGCGACAGCGTCGTCTGGCGCGCGAATCTGCCTGAAAGTTTTCATGCCATCTGCATACATGAGGCACGACGAGTTCAGGCGAGATGGTACGGCCCTCCAGCAAAAGAGTGGTTGGTTAGCCTATGTGCTTTTGGTGTAATAACTTTAAATGACAGAGACACTCCTGTAAAATGACTAATTAGAAATGAGAAGAGGGTTCGTGCACACATTTCGGCAGTGGTTTTCAACAGCCATTAAATGTATCTGTTACAGGCAAAGTGAAAACTCGGGCATTTTGCAAAATGCCTAGGCAATTTGCAAAATGCCTGACTGGCTAGGCATTTTGCAAAATGCCCAGGCAATTTGCAAAATGCCTGACCGGCCAGGCATTTTGCAAAATGCCTAGGCAGTTTGCAAACTGCCTGGCCCACCAGGCATTTTGCAAACTGCCTGAAATTATTTTCTCAGGCAGTTTGCAAAATGCCTGACATCGAACTCACACCAGCGACGATGCGTAAGCATCATTGTAGGTGCCGCCCACAGGGGTTAATCACAAGCGATACGCACCAAGTGGGAGGACACACAGTGAGACAGTAGCCCCGTTTCCATGACACTTCTGAATCCGGATTAGCTCCGAATCCGGATTCAAGCGGTCATGGAAACGGCACATTTCGCGCAATGGGATCGGATCGGCCAATCCGGATCGAAAAAGAAGATTAGCGCGGCCAATCCCAGTTTTGAACTCATCTGGAAGCAATATGGTAGCATATGGGCAGGTAAAAACTTCGTGGACAAGCCATCGCAGTGATCGACGCAAGGCTCGACGCCATTTTTGAGCAAGATCTCGCTTTGTGCATTTGTTTCCGTTTAGTATTGTGATTGTGCTGTGTGGTAGAAGTAAGTTGAAGTGTAGGTACAAGATGGGAGACGTGAGGCCGAAGTGTTCATGGGCGGAGAAGGAGACGGCAGCGCTGTTGCGTCTGGCCATCGATAAGAAGATCTTTGAAAAATTTGATGGAAAGAAAGTGACGAATCGGCAGGTTGGTGATATATGGTTTTCATCACTTTTGAAGTCTTGAAAGCGCTAGTATCATTGTATGTTTTTTCATTCAATTATTATTCAAATTTTGTCATTTAGCCCCAATAATAACCATACCTGGATTCAAGGACGTAGGTACGAGTATGTATGGCTATTACCATCTACAATTAATTCAAAATCTTGCCTGTAGGTACCTATTCAATATCTTTTCCACCTTTTTCTGGTGCAAGCTACTTCCCGTCATTTATTATTTAATGTAAACTAATCTAAACCTTACCTATACGTTACTAGACCAACCCAACCTTGCCTGAGGAGTGAGGATGAAGAAATGAGATAATAAGAAATAGAATAAATAGAATAATGAGATAGAATAAATGTGCTTACAAAAAAGATAAATGATATTGCAGATATATAGGTGCTGTCAGCAGTTCTGTTGAGATGTTTGGTGTGTGGTGACAATTGTATCATTTTTCTATTATCTTTTTACAGGTATACAATGACCTCTCCGTGAGCCTACGGGCCCTGAACGTCGAAGCCACGGCGGAGCAGATAAAAATCAAGCTTAAGAACATGAAGAGGCTGTACCAGGAGCGGAGACGGAAAATGTCCCGCTCTGGTGCAGCAGCAGCTCCTCCTCTGCAGCATCAGGAGCTGCTTGATGAGCTGTTGGCCAGTCGCCCCTCCACTGCCGCTGCCTCAGGGGAGATGGGACTGGACTTCACCTTTACAGAGAGTGGTAAGTGATTTAGAGGCTATACCTAAATGATACAAAGATACTAAATCTGTACCTATGTAGCAAGAACTTATACACTTATGTTGGTGCTAAGTATTGCAATATCACAATTCAACCGAAACTTAACTACTGGGTAATTGGGAAGTGCAGTGTCCAGAAAGCTTGGCATGCACAACAAAGGCTAACTTTTCAGTTTTTAATGAAGTTTTTCTTATGAATTATTACTCAACAATGCAAATGAAGAGTTTTCCACTGCTGATTGTAAATCTATGCCCATTTCATTGCCCCAATCAAGATATAGTTGTGAATTCCCACACCACCAACCTCAAGTTTCATTATAAGGCCGCCTTGTTTTCTTACAGCACCTGGACCTGTAGACCAGGCCAGTGACAGCACCGACCCTTGGGAGGACTTCGGTGTTCAGTTCGGGCCTGGCCCTGCAGATCCTGATGATGACACGAGCACTGTCGGTAAGAATATTCGCCATCTTAGGGCATGGTTCAATGCCTAGCACACAGGTTTTATTGAGCTCCACCTATGATTCCTACATGCTCTAGTGGTTTTATGTATGATGGTGGGTGCTTCATGATGAACATTAAGCAAGAAAGAGTGCTCACTGCTCATGATTGTCATTTTCATGCCCTAACTGGCATGACAAACTCTGGTGTCCCATTGTGTGATTGTGTGCACCTCTATTTGGCTCACCCATGTTCTCTTTTGTGCAGATCTGTCAGAACCACCCATGCACATCCATTATGTTATGCTCTAACTGACTCACCCATGTTCTGTTTTGCGCGCAGCCATAACTGACCCACCCATCCTGTCTGTGCGCAGCTCCAACTGACCCACCCCTCCTGTACAATGTGCAGCTTTAACTGACCCACCTATCCTCTGCTGTGCGCAGCCCTAACTGACCCACCCATCCTGTCTGTGCGCAGCCCTAACTGACCCACCCATTTGTGTTGTGCGCAGCTCTAACTGACCCATCCATCCTGTCTGTGCGCAGCCCTAACTGACCCACTCATCCTGTCGGTGCGCAGCCCTGACTGACCCACCCGTTTGTGTTGTGCGCAGCTCTAACTGACCCACCTATTCTCTGCTGTGCGCAGCTCTAACTGACCCACCCATCTGTGTTTTGCGCAGCCCTAATGGACCCACCCATCCTTTCTGTGCGCAGCAGCTCTAACTGACCCACCCATCCTGTCTGTGCGCAGCCCTAACTGACCCACCCATGACCATTGGTGCAGCTCTAACTGACCCACCCATCGTGTCTGTTCGTAGCCCTAACTGACCCACCCATTTGTGTTGTGCGCAGCTCTAAGTGACCCACCCATCGTGTGTCGTGTGCAGCTGGTTAGGGCATGGTTCAATGCCTAGCACACAGGTTTTATTGAGCTCCACCTATGATTCCTACATGCTCTAGTGGTTTTATGTATGATGGTGGGTGCTTCATGATGAACATTAAGCAAGAAAGGGTGCTCACTGCTCATGATTGTCATTTTCATGCCCTAACTGGCATGACAAACTCTGGTGTCCCATTGTGTGATTGTGTGCACCTCTATTTGGCTCACCCATGTTCTCTTTTGTGCAGACCTGTCAGAACCACCCATCCACATCCATTATGTTATGCTCTAACTGACTCACCCATGTTCTGTTTTGTGCGCAGCCATAACTGACCCACCCATCCTGTCTGTGCGCAGCTCCAACTGACCCACCCCTCCTGTACAATGTGCAGCTTTAACTGACCCACCTATCCTCTGCTGTGCGCAGCTCCAACTGACCCACCCCTCCTGTACAATGCGCAGCTCTAACTGACCCACCTATTCTCTGCTGTGCGCAGCTCTAACTGACCCACCCATCTGTGTTTTGCGCAGCCCTAATGGACCCACCCATCCTTTCTGTGCGCAGCAGCTCTAACTGACCCACCCATCCTGTCTGTGCGCAGCCCTAACTGACCCACCCATGTCCATTGGTGCAGCTCTAACTGACCCACCCATCGTGTCTGTTCGTAGCCCTAACTGACCCACCCATTTGTGTTGTGCGCAGCTCTAAGTGACCCACCCATCGTGTGTCGTGTGCAGCTTTAACTGACCCTACGAATCGTCGGTGGCGCCACCGCCGCCACCTATGCCCTGAGCTTCCCAATATTATGTGCATTTCTCCTAACCAGTGTTGGTTTTTCTTTTTTGAGTGCGCTGTCCTGACTTATTATCACTGCTTTTCCCCCAGAGATGGAGCCAGTGGCTGGCCCGAGCCGACTGGAAGGCCAGTGGCGCCCCAGCCGGATGTCCCCGTACAGTGTCCCGTCGAGGCGGCGTGGATGCTCGGGCAGCAGCGACAGCAGCTGCAGTGGCAGGAGCAGCAGCTACGGCAGGCGTGGTGGCGGCAGCGTCGGCGGTGGCAGGGGCAGCGGTAGTGTCGTCGGCGGCGGCGGCAGCGTCGACGATGGCAACGTCGGTGTCGACGACTGCAGCGTCGGTGTCGACGACGGCAGCGTCGGTGTCGACGACGGCAGTGTCGGTGTCGACGACGGCAGCGTCGGCGGCGTCGGGGTCGGTGTCAGTGTCGGTGGCAGCCGCAGCGGTGGCAGCCGCAGCGGTGGCAGCCGCAGCGGCGGCCGCCGCCGCGGCGGCAGCGGCAGTGGCAGCGTAAGCGGCAGCAGCGCCAGCAGTGCCACCGAAGCTGATGGCGATGTGGGTGGCAGCGCAGCTGAGCAGCTTCTCTCGCCGCCAGCCGGACTCAGCCAGGCGCCGCGCGCGGTCCGCCGCCGCCAGCAGAGGGCCCAGATGGAGCCGGTGGAAAGGCTGGTTACTCTGCTGGAGGCCAGCGTCGAGCGCGATGGCCAGGCGCTCGAGGCCATGGCCGAGAGTGAGGCCAGCATGGCGAGGAGCCTGGAGCTGTCGGTGCAGCAGGGAGAACAGCATTTAAACCTGTGTGCCGAGATGGTGCGCTCCCTGCAGCAGTTCATGGGGCGGCGAGGTCCCGGCCGCAGAGACGACTAAGAAAACCACAATGTAAGGGAATGTATATATATACTGTAATGTAAGGGAATGTACCGGGCCCTCGCTGAAATTGGCCAACCCTGTTTGTCGTATATTCCAGCACTCGTACCTCAACAACTGTTTGTCGTTGTGATGTTTCGTTGTCTTCGCGTAAGCGTTACTATTATCTTATACATGCTTAGCACGCGTATGTGTGTACACAATTACGAGGAAAACACGTTATTATACCAGTCACACGTCTTTTCGTTGATGAGTGATGGAACGCGATCGAACAGAATTGATGTCTCCCAGCCCTCGCGGCCTATCTAGGATCTGCTCGGGATGCGGGGCATTCGTCCTTGAGCTGCCGCCGAGCCGCAGAACACCAACACAGAACCTGCTCAAACTCCCTATCTTATATGCCGTTCAACAAGATACCTCACTTTTGAAAGCGACTAGTATGTCGGTAGACCTATACGATGTCTTCGTCGCTGGTGCGCAAAGTTCGTAAAAGAAAATTATCCCATGTAGGTACATATATTTCAACAATGCTGCCAAACAAACGCAAGGAATTGCCACACGCATGCAAATGGACAGTCACATAATGGGCATTCCTACGACGGGCTAGGCATGCGTTTGCGTTCTCAGCGGATGATGCTTGGCCAAGTAAGAGCAAATGGCGTCTCGCATTTGAGATGCAGTGCTATCCGTTGTTCCCCTGTGCGGTTGCAATGGTGGCTGAGGAAAGGCCCGGGCAGTCTCGGCATCCGGAAGCCACGTGTCATAGAACTGCTCTCCTTGAGATTCACAGAAATTATGGAGGATACAACATGTGGCAATCAATAATTTGATTTGGCCTAGATCGAGCTCGTTGCGCTTAAGCAGCTTTCTCCACCGACCTTTCAAACGGCCGAATGCGCCTTCGATCAGCATGCGTCCAGAGTTCATGTAAACATTGAAAGACTCCCGCTCAGCCGTGTTGGCGGCTGCTATTCCATGGTATGGGTAGCCCTTCATAAGCCACGGCAGTAATGGATATGCGGGGTCGCCGACAATCAGCAGGTTGACTGAAGTGTCTTCGATGCAGACGGGTTCCTGAAACAAAGTTTAACAAGATCACTTGACCTGCTTTTTTTAGGGTAGGGGGGCTGGGATGATGACGATGATGACGAGGCTACCTTGTGAGACTCAGTCCTCTCCTCGCCTATTTGCTAAGCAATCGCTCGCACCGGCGTTTTCACAAACAAATATAGTAACTCAGTCTATACCAATGCAATATGTGGCGAAGTTCGTCTTTGTTTGGTGCCAGTACGCGCAGGGTGGGCGATCACTGGGCCCTGTAACGTCTTTGCCAATAGCATAGCACACTCTGAAGCTGGAGGTTCACCCCCCCCCCCGGGCCCGGCGCGGGTGCGGGGTAATGATATTTAGCGCGAAGAATAGTACTACTAAATCCGTTGAGATTACCCGGCCATAATTGTAAAAGAATACAACAAATACTGTCAGCAGAGTCACCTTTGGAATGCGGCCGCAGTCCCTGAAGAGCGTGGAGTCGCGCAGCACGGCAGCGTCGTGCCAGCTACCAGGTGCTCCGCAGTTAATGCTCCGAAAACTGAAAAGAAATATATAGTTACCTAGTGTAGCGGCAATGAGCGCAGCACGTCAATGTACAACACAGCAATGCACACAACACAAAAGAGGATAGGTGGGGCAGTTAGAGCTGCACACAACAGAATATGGGTGGGTCAATTAAAGCTGCACACAACAGAACATGGGTGGGTCAATTAAAGCTGCGCACAACAGAACATGAATGGGTCAGCTAGAGCTGTGCATGACAACATGGGTGGGTCAGTTAGAGCTGCGCACAACAGAACATGGGTGGGCCAGTTAGAGCTGCACACAACAGAATATGGGTGGGCCAGTTAGAGCTGCACACAACAGAATATGGGTGGGCCAGTTAGAGCTGCACACAACAGAACATGGGTGGGTCAATTAAAGCTGCGCACAACAGAACATGAGTGGGTCAGCTAGAGCTGTGCGTGACAGAACATGGGTGGGTCAGTTAGAGCTGCGCACAACAGAACATGGGTGGGCCAGTTAGAGCTGCACACAACAGAATATGGGTGGGCCAGTTAGAGCTGCACACAACAGAATATGGGTGGGCCAGTTAGAGCTGCACACAACAGAACATGGGTGGGTCAATTAAAGCTGCGCAAAACAGAACATGAGTGGGTCAGCTAGAGCTGTGCGTGACAGAACATGGGTGGGTCAGTTAGAGCTGCGCACAACAGAACATGGGTGGGCCAGTTAGAGCTGCACACAACAGAATATGGGTGGGCCAGTTAGAGCTGCACACAACAGAATATGGGTGGGCCAGTTAGAGCTGCACACAACAGAATATGGGTGGGCCAGTTAGAGCTGCACACGACAGAACATGAGTGGGTCAGTTAGAGCTGCGCACGACAGAACATGAGTGGGTCAGCTAGAGCTGCACACAACAGAATATGGGTGGGCCAGTTAGAGCTGCGCACGACAGAACATGAGTGGGTCAGGGCAGCTAGAGCTGCGCACGACAGAACATGGGTGGGTCAGCTAGAGCTGCGCAAGACAGAACATGAGTGGGTCAATTAAAGCTGCGCACAACAGAACATGAGTGGGTCAGCTAGAGCTGCACACAACAGAATATGGGTGGGCCAGTTAGAGCTGCACACAACAGAACATGGGTGGGTCAATTAAAGCTGCGCACAACAGAACATGAGTGGGTCAGCTAGAGCTGTGCGTGACAGAACATGGGTGGGTCAATTAGAGCTGCGCACGACAGAACATGAGTGGGTCAGCTAGAGCTGCACACAACAGAACATGAGTGGGTCAGCTAGAGCTGCACACAACAGAATATGGGTGGGCCAGTTAGAGCTGCGCACGACAGAACATGAGTGGGTCAGGGCAGCTAGAGCTGCGCACGACAGAACATGAGTGGGTCAGCTAGAGCTGCGCAAGACAGAACATGAGTGGGTCAGCTAGAGCTGCGCACAAGAGAACATGGGTGGGTCAATTAGAGATGCGCACGACAGAACATGGGTGGACCAGTTAGAGCTGTGCACGACACCATAGGACATAGGTGGGCCAGTCTTCTTTTTGTTAAAACTCACCAATATTTGTCATCGCAAACTGCCTGCAGGATGACAGATGCCCATCCTTTTCTATTTATGAAGTCTCTGCTACCATCCATAGGTGCTGTAATTGGTATATGTGTGCCGTCAATGGCACCAAACACCTGTGGGAATGCAAACTTGTTCTGCCACCGGGCAGCAATTTCTTTGGCTTCATCTGCACCTGGCATGGTGATGTAGTCACCCATGCTGGAGGTCACAGCCTTGAAAAACTTGCGCAGGTGTCTGTGAACCTGAATGCAGATGACATACCTAAGGTCAGTTCTTGGTGTGAACCATGTTCACCAGGGATGTTAATGGAAAAGGGGTTAAAATATATTATTTATAATATTATCTGAAAGATAAATTTCAGCAAATCATTATTTGCATTCTGCATCCGAATTTCTGTTAAATGACTGAAATGACCAAGCAAGTACCTATGGCAGGTCATCAATAGCCTTGAATTAGCAACAGGTGTCTGAAGCTAAAAATGAGTGGACATGCCAATATGATAAAATAACTAGCATATTGCCCAGGTAGTTCTTTGTGATAACTGTTTATTTTTCATAACACACCATATAGTGCAATCAACAGATACCTACATACATACCGAGGTTTTATGGTGACCAAACTGGTTGGCAGTCACCCTATATTCTCCGCAGCTGGCCAGGTTGTACAAGCTCATTGCAACACGTACTTCAAGGGATATGGGCTCACGCACATAGTTAATCTGAGGTGTCATGTGGCCTTTAAGAAGATAACAGAGCTTCTGGAAAGAAGCCTTCTTCATTCGAAAATTGGTCAGCCATCGATCCTCTTCCCACCATCCCATGACTTCAGTTTCAAACCACAAACTAAGGCGTGGCTTCTTCCACATTCTCGGCTGCCTTCGACGCTTAGACTGGGATGATGTGAGCGCCATTGCTGCTGCATTGATTATCTTCCTTTTCATGTCAATATTTTTTACAAGTTGTCGCCTTATCACTCTAAGCCGATGCATAGCTTGTATGTGCCTGGTAACGTTTGCACGGTGCACCCTGTAGTTGGCCAAGGCTAGCAGAGTCAGCAGTAAGGCAACTCCCAACGCTGTGTCTTCCTGATCCATGACTCACTCGTCGAAATAATGGAATTTAAAAAAAAAAACAAAATTACACCACCGCCGCAACACAACACAGTAGTGAAGCCCGTTTGTGTGTTGACCTATGCGAAAAGACCATGAAGGGAAATGTCGCAGCCGCGCCAGTTGTGTATGCTAATCCCGGATTAGAGAAGCCGATCCGGATCGGCCAATCCCACTGCGAATCCCGTTTCGGGCGGGATCGGTCATGGAAACGGCACTGCTAATCCGGATTCGCCGATCCGGATTCGCCGATCCGATCCTGTCCGTAGTGTCATGGAAACGAGGCTATTCTCCGGGTAGCGCTGCCGAGTTCAATGTCACTGAGCCCCAGGCAGCGCGTGCGGCCCGGCCGCTGCGCCGCCTACTGGGCGCCCGGCGCGGTTTTATCGGTAAACACACGCGTTAAACACGGTTATGTTTCTCAGAGCCTTGATGGCTCTGGAAATCAGGGCTGCGGAGTCGATGGATTTTAGGGTGACTCCGACTCCGACTCCGACTCCGGCTTCAAAAAACGACTCCGACTCCGACTCCAACTCCGACTCCGGACGGTTCTATTAAAATACATATCATGATATTGAAGTTCATAATGGAGATGTTTTTATCTTGCCTGAAACGATCTCTTGTGCTTTCCAACGGGTTGCGTTGCAAATTTGCATTAAAAATAACATGCAGAATTAAAAAGCAGGTTCTGAGGAATTCACCGTCTTCTGCTTCCTTCGCTGTAAACGTTCGTCCAAAAGAGCAAAATAACCTTTTTTCGACAAAATCTAATTTCGAGCGCAGTATCGTCAATTAAACAGGTGCAGTGCATGACGCTGAGCCATGCAGGCAGCGTTAACTCCGGCTCCGGAGTCGGAGTCGGTAGGATTTTGGCGACTCCGACTCCGACTCCGACTCCGGGCAGAACTGTCGACTCCGACCAACTCCAAATCCGACTCCGACTCCGATTCCGCAGCCCTGCTGGAAATACTTTGTGTGGATATTGATCAGAAAAGAATGTTCTTTCGATTTATGGTAGCTTGGTTGGCGAGCCACACGTCTACATTTATCAATGCATTGTGACTGTGTAAAGATGAACATGCCCGTTGCATGTAAAACTTGTAATTTCTAAACGTCTTTTTATTACAAAGGTGTGCACGTGGGTCGTGGATGACCAAAAACTTGCTTTTCTGGAAAAGCGGAAAAGCCACATGTTCTTGTTGTCTATGGAATGTATCTCATCTCATTCCAATTTCCAATGCATTGCCATTGTTTTTTTAAATGCAGTTTTTCCTGAAATGTACCAAAAATGGCTGATTTCTCAAGATATAAACCACACGTGATTAACAATATACGAATACTGCATGGGGGAGCGGGCAATAGCAAAAAATATTGCCCGATGTGACGTCACTGTCGCCCGAGGGTGAAGACCGAAACAAGTGCTATTGCCCGAGGCGAAGCCGAGGGCAATAGCACTTGTGGAGGTCTTCACCCGAGGGCGACAGTGACGTTACAGAGGGCAATATTTTTGCTATTGCCCGCTCCCCCATGCAGTATTCGTTTTATTACATGGCCAACTCTCGGTATCTTTACTTAGTACCTACTCATTCATCCCGTAATAAAAAAATACCCAAACACAAATATCATGGTACAATTGAATGTATTGGATATACAATCATAGCCACGTCACATGTCTACGGCACACACTTAGTTGTTTTCTGTTTTCTGTTTCTGTTTTCTGTTTCACGCCGTACTTGAGAGTGTGGAGACTCTTCGATTTGTAGCGTTCGCCGTCCTTGCGTTTTACAGTAATGAAGAACTCCTTCACAGCGTTGTCCAGGACATCGTTGCTGTGCATGCAGCTTTCAACAGATATGCCTTTTACTTGTAAGAACTCAATGAAGACGTCTTCTGCTGATTTAATCACCTTTTTAGTGCCCTGAGCCCTGCGCGATGAAAATAGCTCATCCAATTCATGCGGCTCCAACAAATTAACCCGCGCACCGACGGGGGTCTGCGCCAACTTAGTACCGACGGGGGGGGGGGCGGATGACCGCCCCCCCCCCTGAGATCTCGAGAACGAAGCAAGATAGCGACAAGCGGTAAACGGCATCGGATACGCACGGACAAGGTCTACAATTTTTACTTAGGTCATTTTCAGGTCAGGTCAAAGATGACGTCACAGGGGTCAAAAAAGTCAAAATGGCGGCGCTATATATGGAGAGAGTTTTTCTCGAATAACTTTCGAATTAGTCAAGATAGGAACAAACTAAGGGCATCATCGTGATCCTCTCGTCAATCCGCATCGAATGATATATATGTTGACCTCGAAAGGTCAAGGTCAAAGGTTGACCTCAGGTCACGTGACCTCGAGGTCATCATGTATATCATTCGATGCGTCTTGACGAGCTGAACACAATGAGACCATCCGCGCGGCTGTATCTTGTTCCTGTAAGGAGTTATTGGCAAAAAACCTTTGGTGACCTTTGATGACGTCACATGACCTTACAGCTGCCCAACAGCAAAACAGACCTCAAGGTAGTGAAGGTTGATCGTATGTGAAGTCATGTATGGTATATGGGGCCATTCCGACCCGTTTTAGTGGTAAAAACAGGGAGTTGATTTTTCCCCCATTGACTTATAATGGGGAGGTCGCGAAATTGACCTGACCTTAGGTCACCGACATCAAAATTCCGAGATATACAAATTGTAGCTACTAATGACCTAATAACATCCTGCGACTTTCAAAGGCCTCCGACATCTACTGTAGCTCTGGCACGGTGACAAAGTTGCAAAAAAGTGACTTGAGGTTGGGTCATTCAAAGTGACCTGGTGACCTGACCTTAAAATTTAGGAGGTTCAAACTTGCACACAATGTGTAAAATTGATGAGGAAATAGTCATACCAAATTTCGCGGCGCTACGCGCCGCGGTTTTCCCGCTATCCGCGAAAAACCTCATCGGGGGGGCGGATATCCGCCCCCCCCCCCGTCGGTGCGCGGGTTAAATCGGGGCATTTGAACGGACATGTTCAAATGACGGCCCAGTTCTAGATGACTTGACTAGCCAATCACGAAATCAAACTGAACAGTCTGAGAAAACGACGATAAAATTACGACATTTGAATTTTTGTTCAAACACCACTGCGCGAGCAACTTACTATTGACCGTTGACATGGCAACCGCTTCTCACCTTCAGAAAGGTCAGTAACCTGACACTGAAAGGTCAGTAACCTGATGCCGGGCAATAGTAAAAAATATCTCATGCCAAATTAACACAGAAGCCATGTAATAAAAATGTTTATTGGATACGTTTTTCTCTGCTCTATCGATCGCTGGCAACCCCGTGTCGCTGCGGCCCTCTCTTGCCGTGATGTAAATAAGCACGGGAAACGAAGAATGTCGGGTCAATATTCGGCTGGTCGCCGCGTTTTTCCGCGCCCATGTTTCTCTGTGCCATGCTCCGCGCCCCATCGCAGCATTCCTACACACGAACGGCTACAACTCCGTATACGAAAATTATAGGGAGACGTTGGCTCAATCTACACCAGTTCCATCTCGACGGAAGTGGCGCAAGACGTGGGTATATTCGTAAATATTGAATGTGTTTGGGGCTCAGGCACATGGGAGCGACATGGTCAACGCCTGTGGTAAACAAAAACGGTAAAATAAATCAATCACAACTCAGGCATTTTGCAAAATGCCTGACCCGCCAGGCATTTTGTAAACTGCCTAGGCAGTTCGCAAAATGCCTGGTGGGTCAGGCAGTTTGCAAACTGCCTAGGCATTTCGCAAAATGCCTGGCGGTCAGGCATTTTGCAAATTGCCTGGGCATTTTGCAAAATGCCTAGCCGGTCAGGCATTTTGCAAATTGCCTAGGCATTTTGCAAAATGCCCGAGTTTTCACTTTGCCTGTAACATATCCATCAATGTAGATCGATTATTGTGATGTTGGCAACCAACCACTATACCTGGCGGGCCGCACATCGTTTGCAGAATAAAACAAACAACACCTGGCCGCATATGCTGCCTTCCGGCACGCCGGACACAAGTCACAACACGGACCCAGTCGGACGCCTTCCCATTGAGCACAACCCGCTGCTCTCTCTCACAGAGGTACGACTCAAACTACCGCAGGGCAGACCCAGCCAGATGATAGGAGTGGTGGACTTTGTGTAGGAGAAGGGAATGGTTGACGCTGGTAAAGGCGGAGGAGTAATCGGTATAGATCACATCTGTCGGGTGCCCCGCGGCGATAGCGTCCCACAACTGCTTGACGAGACAGGTCAGGTTGGTCTCACAGGAACGGCCGGCCAGAAACCCGTGCTGAGCCGGCGATAGCACAGGAGCTACGTGCGCAACTAACTGATCACACACGACTCGTTCCAGAACCTTCGAGCAAATAGACAGCAGTGAACGGGCCGGTAATTAGCGGGGTCTTTCCTGCCACCTTTCTCATAAACTGGCGCTACATGTGCCTTCTTCCAGATCGTGGGAAATTTCCCTTGACTAAGAGACAGGACGCATAGCTTTGTCAGCGGCACTGCCAGTTCGTCAGCACATTCTGACAAAATCCTCGCACTTAGGCCGTCCAGTCCACATGCCTTGTGAACATTTACAGAACGAAGAATACCGAGTACCGTATTATTCGTCACGGTCAAGTGATTAAAATTGTCAATTCCGTACGACACACAGTCAGGAAGAGCTTGCACGGAGGGATCTGAAAACTTTGTTGCAAATGATCGGCTAAAACATTCCGTACGTTCAACATCATCAGTTACAACACGTCCATCACACTTCAGAGCCGGTACACTACGGCCCGCTGATTTGACGGATTTGAGAAGCGACCAAAAGCGTTTTGAGTTGCATGTAAAATCGTCCATTAAATGTAAGATGTATCATGTACTGACGGTACTTGGACACGACAATGTTCTTAAATCGGGTCCTGCGGTCAGAAAAATGGCGATATTCTCCGCTGTGGGTGACTTTTTCTTTTGTCGGTGAGCAGATTCCTTCTCACGTAAAGCTCGCTTAACATCACCGTCATTGGCCTTCGACCTATAACCTGCTACATTTGACCCATGTGCAAGAATGTTACAATTGTCCCCGTCGCGCCGTCACATTTTAAGACAAAACTGGACCGGCGCCAAAAAAATGCTGCATGAACAGCATCCAATGCTTTCAATTTATGGACAACAAGCCTACCAACGCTTATACAAAGTCTGAAGTCGATGCGTTTTCAATTGCTGGAATGAGCTAATGAAATATAC